GGTCATCAATGATCAGGTCCCAAATACAAGGGCTTTTCTCAATCCTTGTTATTTTTCTGATGTCTATAGAATTTAACATTGATGAATGCCCTATTTTTCTTTCCATTTTTAATAATGAAACTCTGTGCTATCATACTTCTGTCTCTGTTTTGCAGGACTCTCTTCTTCCTTTCACTTTCTGCATGTGGATGCCCACCCAGTCTTCTTCCATTTTTTTATTCAGTAAATGAATAGGTCTTGACTCTCTCCCATGGGACAGGCATCACACTAGTGAACACACAATTCCACTACTGTGTAAAATACAACAGTTATAGCAGTATTTCAAGATGCACTTGAAAGCACAGTAGACACCAGGCTGTGGTCCCTACTCTTGTCTCCTTCTACCCTCTCCATGAGAAATCTCATCCTCTTTCATTGTAATACAGCTGGCTCAGGGATCAATAACCTCTGTCCCGACCCCTGTATAACTGTCCAATGTTTTCATTTGTTGTTGCACAGTACCTGATACCCTGCACTCCTAAAAGTCAACAAGAAGGAAAATAACAAGAGCTAACATCTGAGTGTTTACAATGAACCAAGTGCTTTTCTATGGGCTTTATTTTTTTGTTTTTTAGCTCATTAATCCTCATGAAAACCCTAAAAATTAGGTACTCGTATTATTTATATTTTGCAGATGAGAAGCTGAAACAAAAGAATTTCAGTTGTTTGAGATTATACAAGTTATTAAGCGGCAGAGCAAGGTTATGAATCCAGGCAGTGCAGCAGCTAAGCTAGAGATCTTAACCACTACTATATAACCCCCCAAGCTCATCATACACCAGCTTTTAAATAGAATTTAGTTAACTGATTAAATTACTTGATGGTTATTTTTTTTCGAGCCCATAGGAGGAGGAACCACCACAATTTTTAAAGATATCTGATTCAGCAAGGCTTGCCATACAAAGACAGTGAGGCAGCATGGCAAGTCATTAAGAGCTTGGTTTCCAGAATCAGAGTTCCTGGATTCAAATGACACCTAAACTATTTAATAACTATATGGCCCCAGGTAATTTATTTGACTTCTCTATTCCTCACTTCCCTTAGCTGGAAAGTGGGAATAATGGGCTACCTGCCTCATAGGGTACCGTGATGATAAAACGAGATATTGAATGTAAAGTACTTAAAATGTCTCCTAACACATATAAAGCATTCAATAAATGTTAGTTCTCCTTATTCTTCTTATTACAATGTCCTGAACATAGAAGACAATAAAAAGGTACGTGATGAAAAAAATCTGGACTTTAGCATCTGTGTGTGCTATATCTGTGAACTATAAATACCGTCTCCCATTGAAAGTAACCAAGACTCCTTAGAGAAATGGCTGATTCCAGGTATGGACAGAAAATGCACAAGATGATCTTGGCACATGGGTCATTCCCGAAACTAAGGAAGCTATCAAAAACCTCATGGCTCATGAAAAATGAAGAAAGGGGCCACCTGGAAGGGGTTCTAACCGGTCAAAGATGAAAACAATATAAATTTAAGAAGAATAATGATGCCAATGGATTGAAACACATCATATATATCACAAAATGATGTAAGTTCATAATTCATAATGATACTCTCCAAAAACCACCACCACCACCACTCTTAGCTACCTAATAAAAGTTGCTAAGGTATCAACTTATAATTCCGGAAATTTACAAATAAAGGCATTTGTTATACACTCAAGCATTTGTTATGTATTTGCTGGTAATAAGGGAAAAGTCTCTTCACAGAAAAATCATAGCTAAAAATGAAGAGTAAAAATTGGAAAGTCACCCTTTGGCTACTCCTAAAGAAATAACAGATTTAGGTGATAATCCTTAATGGATAAAACAATAGGTGAAAGGTTGATGGACAACTTGACTATAGATGGATTAGGATGATAGCTCCTGAACTCACTGATCAATCTTAACACCACTGAGAGTGAACAACCTGATATTATGTTCCTTTGAAAGCAACACCATAGAAATACACATCACCACCAATGTAGTTCTTTTGCCAAAAGTTAAACCTGAATCTAATCGAGTCTACCTACCTAAATATTATTTTACAAGAAACACAGGCAATAAGTGAAATCATTTTAAAACACAATAAGGATACAATCGGCCAAAATTAAAATATGAGAAATTCTACAGGTAAAGTGACCCAATTTACTCAATAAATAAATGGCATGAAAAATATGAGCAGTGACTGTTATAAATTAAAAGAGACTTAAGAGATATGTCAACAGAAGTCAGTTGTGGACTTTGGATCCTGATTTGAAAAAAATAACTGTAAAAAAGACATTTGAGACAATCATAAAATATTTTAAGGAATTATTCATTTTGATGGGTGAAGTAATGGTATATGGTTGTCTTCTTTTTTTTCTTTTTTTTTGTGAGGAAGATCAGCCCTGAGCTAACATCCATGCTAATCCTCCTCTTTTTGCTGAGGAAGACCAGCCCTGAGCTAACATCTATTGCCAATCCTCCTCCTTTTTTTTTTTTTTTTTTGGCCCCAAAGCCCCAGTAGATAGTTGTATGTCATAGTTGCACATCCTTCTACTTGCTGTATGTGGGACACGGCCTCAGCATGGCCAGAGAAGCGGTGCGTCGGTGCGCGCCCAGGATCCGAACCCGGGCTGCCAGTAGCGGAGCGCGCACCTAACTGCTAAGCCACAGGGCCGGCCCACGGTTGTCTTTTTAAAATGTTATTTTTGCTTCTCTAAAATGAAATATTTACAGATTAAATGATACGCTAAGATTTCCTTTAAAATACTCTAGCAAAAGAATAAAGGGGGAGACTTCCACTTCCAGGAAGACAGAGTAGATGATGTGGGACCAGGAGAAAAACGGACATGGCTATGAAAAGGTAACACGATGGACACTTGTGGTGACTGATCTGTATCTTGACCGAATCAAGGTCAGCATCCCGTTGTGATATTGAACACAATACTGCAAGATATTACCAGGAGGGGAAAATTTGTAAAGGGTACATGGGATCCCTCTGTATTATTTCTTACAACTGCATGTCAATCTCAGAATAAAAAATTTAATTAGGAAAACAAAAATATGGTATGGCAGAGGATAGATGAAATACCAACGGCAGAAAAGTTCATGGTTATAGAAGAATTCACTACCATCTTCTCCATCTCTTCACTTGCTTGAAATTTTCTCTAACAAAGTTTTTTAAAGTTTAGAAAAGTAAACTTATAATTTCCCTGCAAAGTGGTATTGTCTTCTGATTTCCCTAACTAGTGTATCTCCACTCTGTCAAAATCCCACATCACTAAGTCATCCTACACACTCTTGCTAGTTGTTTTCGTCTAAAATACAATTTTCACTCTATCACTCCTTTGCTTAAAAGACTAAGTTCACAAGTATCAAAAATTCCCTCCAGTCAGGCCTGAGCAACCTTAGGGTCATCTCTGGCACACCCCTACATAAACCTTCCACTGCAGTCAAACTAGTCTCACAGTCCCACAAATGTAATTTTGGACTGGTACTAAATTGCTCGTGCCGTTTTCCTGCAGGCTATTTCCTCTCTTCTCCACTGATCTAAATCCCACCTATCTTTAAAGAGGCAGAATAAAACCCCTCACCCAGTGACTAGTCAGGGGGAGAAAAGCAAGAAGCTCTCTCTGATCTTTCCTTAAGATGACTACACGATTCTTCAGAGCAAGGATCGTGTATTACATCACAATGCCTACTAGCTTTCCTGATACCATCATGGTTTTCGATGAAAACGTGTTAACTGAATATTTAATATAAAGTTCATTGAGAGATTACTGAATTTTAGGGAAAAAATAAAGAGTAAAAATGTTAAAGAGATTTTAAAATAACACTAAATTGGAAATCAATTTCCTTGAATTTCAGATGCAGTACTAAACTTGCTGTGTCACCTTGGGGGACTCATTTAACATCTCTTGGCATTTGACTCTAAAATGTAAAATGAAAGGACTACATCCCTATTTTTTAATGTGTAGATGCTGTACTTGTCTCTGGAAAAGATTTCCCAAGGGCTTCCACGATTGTAACTTGAAAAGATTATTCCTAAATGTTACTCATCAACAAAGGCTAAACTTTATATCAAACACACAAAGCAAGACAGCATCCTTGATCCACTACTTTTTAAACAAAACTGAGTCAATGAGAATGAATTGCATGATGATTTTGAACCCATATGAAGTAGGATTGCCATATTTTTTAAAGACACTATATTCAATAAGACTTCCTAAGGTACCTGCACTCTAGAGGAGGCATAATCTCCCTGTAGCATTAAAAGTCTGCCATCCCATAACTTGGAGCTGTTTAAGACATATAACACAAAGGCAGAAATTTTCCTATCAAACATTATGACCTTGTTGAGAAACTACCAAGGTTTCCCAGAATATTGCAGTAGAGACTATCTAGGACAGAAAGTACAACAAGGATTGAATACAGAATGAGATTAGGTAGTAAGAGGATAAATTCTACTTTGCCTTAAGAAAAGAGTGTTGCTCTCTAAGCAGGCCTTGTATATTTAGGAAGGTCATGACCCATAGTCTGCCGTTCAGGTTGGAAGTGGTGACAATCTCAACCAAACAATGAAGCCTGCACAGTTTGCCCTCACATTCACTCCCTGGGGATGCCCAGGCTGGAAGAGAAGAGAGTTGTATAAGAATCAGCTGTATAAGAATTAGCTGTACCCACCACTAGTACTTAATGAATTCAGGAGAGCACCCATCAGAGAGAGTATCATTAGCATAAGAACGGGGAGAAAACTTTCCTGCTGTGGAACTCCAATTTCTTTAGGAAGGGGAGGCTGGTTCCATGAGAGAACCCAATGCAGTCAAGTGATGGGCTAATGGGATGAACTGGGGAAGCTAAGCATGGGACCCTGGGAATGAGTGAGCAGAGATCCTAGGAACCCAGTGACTAGTTAGGGGGAGAAAAGCAAGAAGCAGCAGTTACTTTTTCTTTGCACTGGCCCAGCAGCACCAGGGTTCCAGCAGTTACCTGAGGTTTCTTCACCTTAATGATCCAGGTGGGCGGGATGATGACAGCAGCATGAGCCCCCAGGGAGCAGGGTTCCTCAATGTGATGCAGCATGAAGCAGGTCACCTTATTGTGAAACTGAAGAAAAAAATAAGCCAATAAATGATTCTGTGCAAACAGCAATGCCACAGCAAGAAAGAATAAGTACATGCACACACACTCATGCATGCATACATACATACACGCACACACGCCCACAATGAGGACACGTGCTTCTCATCACGGCCCAACCAGTTCCAGGAGCTCAGAGACCAGATTACGAATTCATTCCACTTTACAGACTGATAACAATTGATATCGATCTTGTAGGACAAGGCCAGATAAAACTTCATAAACTTTTAGTAGGATATTTACATAAAGACATCAGAACCTTGGAGGGTTCTATTAATCCTAACTTTGCATATAATTTTGTTTCACTTGACTTGCGCTGGTCATAGACTCAGTTGTTTGGGATAATGTTGAGAAGGAAATGAAAACAAGCAGAAAGGCAGTGCCTATCATCTGCCTGTCCTTTTTCTATCTATAGATGTAAATCCTTCCCGGGTAGTCCTTCCACCTTAAAGGACTCAGGAAAGAAGCAAGATGTCTCTTCCAGAAAGTTGTTAATCAAAGAGGTAACAAAGAACAAAGACATTGCTTCTGCTGGGTTTGTCTAGGGATGCTAAAAATATAGTGGCCCTATTACACTTGGCAAGTCTAAAGTGCTTTTTTTTTTTTTGAAAGGAAGTAAATGTACAGTAATGATCATAACAATACCTCAGTATTAGAGGCCTCGCTCTACACTGAGTGACCTTAGGCCAATCACATCTTCAATCATCTTTTATGTGGCCGTAAAGTGATAATGATGGGTTGTAACATTTGTTTTCTAATAAACAGAAAATCCACATTACACAATAATTATGGGCCTTAGTTTTAATCATAGTGATTTTTTAAAAATTTAACATCAGTTTCTTCTCAGTTTATACTTAATGTGATCACATAATTTATCATCGTAACCAGAACAATTTTAAGAATAAAAGGGAGCGCTGATAATAATTACACTGGAACAACAGACATAAATTAGGACTGCCTTAGGAAAACTGGCAAATGTGGCCACCCCAATTATATTGCATCAGGGTGATTTTGTCTTCATTTCCGCACATCTTCAAGATCTGACATGACCCAGTGGCTAATTACTAAATCAATTAATCATGAAATACAAGTTAATAAATTAATAATTTCCAATATCACCAATTATTTGTGATCTGCAATTTGATATACCAAACAAATGTTATTTGAATACCTTCTTTAAAAGTGATTTTCTTTTAGCAATTCAAATAAACCCCCAAAATGAATGGCTATTGCGTTTCCAAAATGGAAGGGATCTCAGAGACGGCCTATTTCAACTCTCTCTATTTATATCTGAGTAATCTCCAATCCAGAGAGACTAAGAGGTGTGTCCAAAACTGCACAACTTTTAAGTGGTGGAGTCAGGACTTGAACCCAGGAAACCCAGCTTCCAAATCCAGGTTTTTTCCTGCTGCAGAAAGTGCCAATTGAGGGCACTTATTTGTTTCTTTGTTTGACATCAGATATTCTAGAAAGGATTACCTGTAGTGTTAAAATATACCACCACTGTAATATGTCTTAAATCTTTTGTATTTTTAGTCCTTGTAAAATCACCTTCTACAATGTGAGACCCTGGGAAACTCAAAGCTATGTGGAATTGACCAAAGCCCTGCCACAACGGTCAATTTGTCATGATTCAATTGGACTACAGATGAATGAAGAAAGCACAGTGTTCACTGGAAGGTGGGATTGAGTTCCCAAATTAATTGACCTTGGATAAACCATCTAACCATAGCCTGGTAGCTAGAGGGGCAGAGGCAGATGCAGCCTGAGCCCACTGCTTCCAATGATGCTATTCTACAACTGGGGTCTCACCAGATCAGGAAAACCAGCAGCACAGATATTGTTAGGGACACCTGGACTCCGAATCTGCTTCTTCCTCTCCAGGTAGCATATTTTCATTCAAGGACCAGGATGGCCTTATATTTGTGAACATGTTCTTGAACAGAAGCACAAAGATTATCTGTGTAACAACTAACTGAAAGGAGATGGAAATGCCAAGAATAAAAAATGTAGCAGGATGGTAACCCAGCAAGCACTGAGCTTTCCAGACTAATGCATCTCTACCTAGTGAAGTAGGTTCTCCTGACAGGTGATGGACTGGAGAAATTATGCTAGAGAGATTATCAGGTTGAACTTTATGGAATTGCCAAAAGTCAAAAGTTTTTGACCCACAAAAATGTCAATTTTATGTGTTTCAACTAAACACATCTGCTCCTGCCCCACAGCCTTGTTTGGTTAGTTAAATCTGATGTGTGCAGAGGGCTGAAGTCTTCCTGCAAACCCTTAACCTAGGTGAAACACCACAGCCCTTTCTTTTCAGGTTGGCTGTGCAATGAGGGGACTATATACCCCAATTACACAGTCACTCAAAAGAGTAACTGAATTGAGAGATTAGAGCAGGAGTCTGCAAACTTTTCCTATAAAAGGCACAAATAGTAAATATCTCAGTCTTCTGGGGCCATATTGTCTCTGTTGCAACTACTCGACTCTGCTGTTGTAGTAGAATCAGTCAGATTTGGACTACAGGCCACGGTTTGCTAACCCAGGAGTTAGAGTATATATTGCGTGGTTAAAGAAAGACAGGTACATAGGCAAACAAGCAAGAAAATGAACCATTAGGTTGGGACAGACGTGTTAAGAATGGACAAAGGGTAGATAAAAGAGAGAAGAAATAGGGAAATTACCGTTGGATCCTAATGAATATACAGTCATGCCTCGCTTAACAACGAGGATATGTTCTGAGAAATGCGTCGTTAGTTGATTTCCTCGTTCTGCGAACATCATAGAGTGTACTTACACAATCAGTATATAGATGGATTAGCCTACTACACACCCAGGTTATATGGTACTAATCATATGGGACCACTGTTGTATGTGCAGTCCGTCATTGACTAAAATGTCATGGGGCACACGACCGTATACGTTCAAATGTAAGGAAGAGTTACATTTCAACAAGCAGAGAGACAACTGTAAAAATATCCAAACCTAAATGACACAGGACCACTCTCATCCTAACACAGCCCCATAACAAGTCACCTACATCAAAAACAGAAGAACCAAGATGCCTGGACTCCTGTGTTAGAGGGATTATCTAACATGGCACGTTGCTCTCTTCCTAATGTTGCAACTTCCTACCACAGGAGTTGTTGTCAATAGTCTAGTGTAATGTGAAGAAAATGAGGTCTAGGGTGAGAAGTCCTGGATCCTAGACCCAGGGTGAGAACCTGGGGAGGATTTTCCAGTCTCTGATCCCAGGCTTCAACGTGTACAAATGAAGGGGTTCATTTATCTCTATAGTTTCTCCCAGCTCATATTTGCTATAGTTCTATAGTTTTAATCTGTCTTTCTTCCTCCAAGGATCCTATATGAGAGAAATACTACATAAATTAGGATAACCTTCCATTTATAGACAGGAACTCAAGCAACGACATAAGCCTATTTTGATAAAACATGAGTCCACTTTGTTTTATTTCTTCCCAAAACTTACCGCCTGCTTGCACCAGGAACAGCTGATAGCCACAATCTCTTTACTGTGGAAGGAGAATTTTTGCTGGAAGCCCTGGGATGTTAGGACAAGAGATAGAGAATTTAAAACGACCTCAATCACAGCATGCGTTTGCCCTCCTAAGTCCAATGAAGTGAATACAGCCAGAACCGTCCCCACCACTCAAGGTAACTGAGACTGCAAATGCCAGATTCTCCACCCTCTACCAGGCAAGAATTTCCTATTCTTGAATCATCTGGAGCATGAGAGAGGAGGCACAGCCTTTGCTATACCACTAACTACTCGGGTTTTTTTCCCCCAAATAAATGTGGTTCTGATATGTTTTTATTATAAGCAAAAGAAAAGCCACTATTGGTTCACATGGTTATAACAATGATCATCCATCTCAGAGATTCTATACAACTTTAACATCTGAGAACCCACAAAGAGAGAAATTATCAGAGAGTTAGGACCTAGAAGTCAGGGTCTGGGAGAAGTAGAAGGGCCTAGCAGGAAATTCAAACACTTTTACCATCCCCTCGGGATCTTGGAACTCGAAATAAGCAGCTTTCAATGTTTATGCTTCAACAGAAAGCAGCAACGAGATTAATGGAATGGCAAACACAATCCCCTTAAATGAACAAACAGAATTACTTTTCCATCAAGAACAGAAAAGGTGCTTCTTGGCTGCTATGGTCCCTAAATCATTACCAGAGAGAAGTATGCAGTAATGCGTAAAGAATTTTTCTTAGCCTTCCCAAAGCTGACCCATTTCTATCTGCCTATGAAATCTAAACTCGAACAAACTACTGCTGAGCAATGACAAAAGCATTTTAATACAGGGCTTTTGTAAAGGGATCAGAAGAAAATAGAAAGATGTGCTGAGCAGGAAAGCTATTAAGGCACTGGCTGAATAAGTCTTGCTTAATGTGTACAGATAATTTTAAGTTAAAAAAATTAACACATAGTTATAAACTATTATGACCTCAATAAAATAAAATAAATTAACACATTATTAAAAGAAGTCTCAATGGCATTTTTGCAGTTCCCATAATTACTATATATCTGCAGCATTTTACACACTATTAAGCATTTCCTCCTTTTTGAACCTCTCGCCTCTCTTGGTTTCCTAAAACACATCCCAGTTCTCCTTCTACCTCCCAATCTCCTGCGGGTGGACATTAGACCAGGACCAGTTTCAGTCCTTGGTACACTGTGATTCCTCCTTGAATCCTTCTCTTTTGCCCCAACTTCAAATCTCACTTCCAGAAACATGACCTCTTCTTAACATCAGATTTTACTGGATTTTGAGAAATTTCTCCATCAATAACCTTTCTCAACAATTTAACTAATCATATAATCACTCTCAGCAGAGAGGAGTTAACGTAACAATTCTGAGACTGCTATTCTTACAAAGGTGGGCTGGCATCTGAGAACTTGGGTTTCAGGAGAGTTCCCCAATTCCCAGCACAGTTAAGGGTGGCTCACTGTGCCTAAACTGTTTGTATAAACGTGGCTTATGCTGAACACCTGCTTTCCTTCCGGGAGTCTGGAATGTAGGTATGTGCTATGCAGAGGGTGCTTATGTAATGAGCCCCCAATAAAAACCCTGGGCACCGAGTCTCAATGAGACTGGTAGACAGTACTTCACACATGTTATCACAACTCATGTTGGAGGCATTAAACACATCCTGTGAGACTCCGTTAGGAGAGGGCTTTTAGAAACTTCCCCTGGTTTCCTCCAGACTCTGCTCCATATGCCCTTCCCTTTGCTGATTTTGCTTTGTTTCCTTTTGTTGTAATAAATCATAGCTGTGAGTAACATATACTATGAATCTTCCTAGTGAATCATCCAAACTGGGGTGATCTTCGGGACCCCTAATGCTCTCATCTCCACCCAAACAATGAGTCTTGCTATGCCTCCTTCTGTCAATGACAGTATCATTTCCCCCAGAAGAGGATGCACTGTTTGTGAAACACACATGGACTGAATTATCAGCACAGGTTTGGTGTCTGCATGTTTACTAGAGTGGTGGCCAGCAACAACCCACAGAGCCCCCAACACCTGTGCGTTAAAACTGCCTGACAGAAACAGCTTACAGGGAGGACACAAAGTCCAGTGGGCCAAAGGGTTAGGTATGCAGGTCCTTTCAAAGATGAGGCACAAACTAGTCAATGTGAAATCAGATGGCATCAAATATGCAGGAAAGACTTCACACTAGAGTCACTTGAAAAGTTCCTCATCATCTCTCAAGCCACTCTTGATGAACCGGGCACAAAAAACAAACAAACAAAAAAAAACCAATAAAACTACTCTTTGGCCATAGCAACAATTTGTGACTATGTGAGGAAAGAAGCTAGCAGCCAATAACAAGTATGCGGAAGCTGGTGCAGTGGCTGAGCAGGGACTCCTGAGGACAACCTTGGTTGCATGGCCAGATGCCTCCACCTGGACCCCATGTCCAACAGGCATCAAGCTCTTCACATCTGGATATCTGCTCCATCTTCTGACTTGTCTCTTCATTGATAGTCTGTTTCCCCCTGTATTCTTCATTCTATCCTGGGCACTGACACCAGGGAAAATGCTGCTTTTTAAAATATCAGTCTCCATTTCAAAATACTCAAATAACTACTTCTTTCCTCACGTTTAGAGAAAAAACTATTCACACTGGCATTCAGGGCCATCTATAATCTGCCCAGCCAATTTTTCTACATCAATCTCCCACTCCTCACTATTATAAATTCCTGTCTACAGTGAGATGGGTTTAATTATACTCTACAGCATACTCTATTCTTTTATATTTCCATTTTTTGCCCACTTTACCAATTTTTTTTTTGCCATTTTGTTATTCTCAATCCACCATCTAGAATGCCTACCACTATTTCACATACAGGATCTGAATTTCACTTCCACTACAAAATCTAAAAAAGTCTTCCAAGATCACCTTATTTCACCGTGATCTCTCCTCCTAAACTATAGGCCTTACCACGGTACTCTCCATGGCATTAATGAACAGCTGACCTAAGTTTCTGGTTATTTTATGTGCACACGTATTATCTCTCCAATGGAGATGAGAGAAGTCCTTGTAATATTTCTTAATAGGTCTCCATAACTTAGCATAGCTCTTTGAACATCATAGGCATAGCATGAATATTTTCTGATGAATTGAATAAGAAAATCATCCAGTTACAATTAGATTGATCCAATTATAAACAATGCTATCTCAATTTCCTAACCCCAACCACCTGAAAACATGCCCTCTCACTGAACCCTCCTCCAACCCCTACAGACACAGCAAACATGCTAGGATTCTAATTTTCATTTTTAAGTCTGTGATATTGACATCCTGCATGGCTGAAAATCAATACGGTAGAACTGGTGGCATGACAGCAGCAGTAGCCACAACTAGAGGTCTGCTGAATGTTGCTGTACCAAATGTATTGGGAAATAGTCTTAAATGCTATTACCCAGCTACTATGCCATCAATGCACACATCAGATGATTGTATATCAAATAGAAGCTGATGGAGATATGGCAAAGCTGAGAACAGTTCTCGAATCTTTTCCTTATCAGCTGGGTGATCTTAGGCAAATCATTTAACCCTTCCAATTTCTCCCTTCACTTGAAAATGGGAATAAAAATACAAACTTCTCCTACACCACTAAGTAGTTATAAGCATCAAATAAGGCAATGTATTTGAAAAGTTCTTTATAACACTATATAAATGAAGGAGTATTTTATTGGCAAGATTTATCAACTGGAACCTCATCCACCATCTTGCTGACAACGTCTTCCAGTGTCAATTTGACGGTACAGAGTGAGTGTATCAGCCCACCTCTCTACTCAGCATTGGCCTTCTGGCTTCAGGGAGAAACAGACACAGTTCACTGTAGTCCTCACAGCCAGGCTGACACCAGAAACAAACAAACAAGGCCAGCCACAACTGGGGCGCTGGGCACTGTGCTTATGCAGAATCGCGGTGGGTCCCTTGGAAATGAGCCTGGTGGGAATCAGCTCTGTGCTTCGTTTTGGATTCTAGTCTGGCAGAGTCAGAGCGGCCATGGCTTCAGGGTTATTGTCTGATGTAGAGACATAAATAGAACCACATAAGAGCCTTCATGGACCAAGTTCCCATAGACCACCTGCAATGGGGAGATTTTGACCCGGATCTCAGCACAACAAAATGAGTCAGATTCCTAATTACCCATTCTTAAATGCTGGCCCAAATCCGATATTATGGTACTGACTGAACTTCAACTGACTCTATGATTTTTAAGGGCTACTTTGTTCATCACTATCAAAGAAGAAAATAGGGATGTGAGGTCAGATGCTCTGGATCTAACTGACTTCAGAATTATATACACCAAGGACCTTGAGGAATAACGTCATTTTTTTTTGGTTGAGTTTTTTAATCAAATTGAGCCCTTGGAATAAAGCTTAAACATTTATTCTGAGCAGCTAAAGCTTTGCTGCCTCTTTTTCTTCTGCAATCTAGGGCAAACATCAAAGGCACTCCGTTTTTCGGCCTTGGCCGAAACCAGAAAGAAGGGCTTTACTTGAAAAAGACTGAAATTATTTCCTTGTTTATGTATTTAACTGAGGTTTGGGTGAGGGAATCTCCTGACCTGATTCCCTGTTTGATTTGACTTGATCTAACATAAGAGTTGATACTGCTCTTGCCTCCAAAACTTTAAACAACAGCAACAACAAAATAAATCTCTCCATATCCACTTGCAGGTTCAAGGCTCACAAAGTATTACAAAAGGCAAACCCAAAGGAATTACAAAATAAGACTAAATCAATATTACCTTAAAGAACTTCAAATATTTTTGCTCAAATACTCCCTATCAATTTTGAAAAATATATATATATACTCTTTTACACATTTTATATTTAATATCTAAAGTGTTCCTCATAAGTTTTATTAGATGCAAAGTTCATTATATCTAGCAAAATAAAAGTGAACTTTTAAAATAAAACTGTTATACCACTCTTATAAACAGGAAACAGGAAATAAATAGATATCACTAATGTAAAAGGAAATTTTCCCAGTCAGAGCAGAACTTTGCCAGAA